GATGGTACCACCTGGACAGTGACTTCCAGCTGTGGCTGCTCAGCCCCTTCTCCAGCTTCCAGGGATGGGAGAGGCCCTCGAGCATCCAGGGATGGGAGAGGCCCCAGCAGGTGGAGGGGTTTGCTGCCCAGGCTGTGGTGCCGCGGGCGCTTTACGGTGTCGGCGCTGGCCCGCGGGGTAAAGCTGTTCCTCCTCATCCTCACAGGGCTCTGCCTGCTGGGGAGGTCGTGCTGATCCCACACAGAGGGAATCACCAGGAATGAAAAGGGGGAACCAGAGTTTAAAGGCACGTAGGTCACACACCTCCAGCAGCCCACCCTGAGCGGCCCCGCACCGGGCTGGGCCTTCCCCAGCTCTGCAGCAGCTTGGAAACAACTTCATCCAGCTTGGAGACAACTGCAAAGTGATTTTTCAGCAGTTTTACTTCCCTTTGGGACTTTTGTTTTGCTTAGGTGGCTCTGTTTTGGTGGTGGTTTTTTTTTTCGTTTTTGTTTGTTTGTTTGTTTTTCTTTCTCTCTGCACAAAGAATTTGAGTGAAAAAAAAATAAGCAAATAGAAAACTCTCCCTTTCTTCCTGTTTCTTCTGCCCCAAAACAGCTGTGTTACCCAAGCAAAGCAAAGAACAGAAGCAGCCTCCAAGTGGGCAGCAATGATTTCCATGCAGGGGTCACAGAGAAGTTGGAAAAGTGATAAATCCCAGAGTGGATGGGGTTGGAAGAACCTTTAAACATCATTAATCCAACCCCCTGTGAGCAGGGACATGCTGGAAACCACGAGGATCCACACAAATCATGCCCAATGTCCTCAGTTTGGCATCTGACAGAGCCTCCAGGCACAGCTGCAGGTTCCCAATTTCCCCAGTCCCTCAGCACAAAGGAACAACCAGATCCCAGCCCAAGGGATCTTCATAAAATACAACAAAAAACCCAAATGGACAAAACCTAAAATCAGATGCATTCAGAGTTCCTGTGAGCCAGCAGAGCTGATCTCTGCTCTCTAATTGGGGGAATTAATTAGAGGCAATCACTGAGGTTTTCCTTACAGTCCCTTTGGAAAACAAGGTTTGCAAAGTCAAGGCCCTCAGAGATGTCACCCAGATCTTTGAGGTGGTTACAAGGTTAAATAGCAATTTAAACAATGGCAACAATCATTTAAGCAATGGCAGAGAGGATTTCAGAAAGAGAAAACTCATCAAGACAAGGAGAAAAATCCACTTTAACCCTTCTGCTAAGTCTTTTTGAAATTACCAATAAGCATCAGCAACAAACACTGCACTGAAAACTGAGAGCAAAACCTGGAGTTTAAAATCTTATGCCCTAAATTTGCCCATTTCTGCAGCTCTGAAAAATGTCCCCACTGGCCTGGGAAGCACCTTAAAATTAATTCTGCTTTTGGGGGGTTATTTCTCCCAAAATAGAGAATCCTTGTGCTCACTGAAAGGCACCAGGCAGTTCGAGCAAGTGTTTTAAGAGGGTTTGTGGCTTGTTTTGGAAAAGGTGGAGCCAGAGGGTGCAGCAAAACTTACTGAGTTCAGGGAGGGCTTTTCCCGGTGGGTGTTCACTGCCTCCACACCCATGGAAATTGTCTCCACTTTGCAGCCTTCACCCCAGAAAAAGAGAAATTTATATGAGTAATTTATTAACAAAACAGCAGGGAAAATGCACAGGAATAAATCTCTTATTTATAAAAATAACACAGATCATAAATCCGCAGCTCACCCCACAAACAGAATTTTACACTTGGTGGTTTTTAAGTGTGAGAGCACAGCCCTGAGTTGTTTGGGCTGCACAGAAAAGCCAGTTTTAACTGACTGCACCCCAAGTTTGGAGGCACAGCCTTGCTGACCCACAAAAATTGGGAAAAAAATTGGGAAAAAATTGGGAAAATCCAATTGTTTAAAAGAGAGGTCAGGGAAGAAGACCCTGCACCTCTACATCCACTCCCCACCCCTCCAGAACCCTTTTCTATGTTAACTTTTTGTATTTTAACCAGGAAATAACCTCTTGATGTATTACCAAAGCTTCTAGAGCATGGCCAGGCGCTGCCACACACGGACCCAAACCTCCCACAACATCCCCACACACAAACCAGGAGAGGAATTCAAATGAAAAATGAAAACAAAGCAGTTATTTACCATAGGCAACAGGCGTGAGCTTGAAAATGGTGTGGAGGGGGCAGCGCAGGTAGGGCAGCTCATCTAGGGCACAAAAAAATGTTCTGGGGTCACCTGGGATGCCACAGCCCCCCTGTTCCCTCCCCAGCCCCACAGCAGCACTGGGATGTCCCTGCCCACCACAGAGGGGTCAAACTAAACCCCTTTAAGGGTCTTTTTAACCCAAATAATTCCAGAATTGAATGGGAATTGTCCTTGGAGTGGGGGTCTGTGGATGGCACTCAGGCACTCAGATCAAACCCTTTCAAGGGTCTTTTTAACCCAAATCATTCTAGGATTGAATGGGAATTGTGTTGGGGATGAGAACCTGTGGATGGCACCCAGATTAAACCATTTTAAGGGTCTTTTAAACACAAATCATTCTGGGATTGAATGGGAATTGTCCTGGGAGTGAGAGCTTGTGGATGGCACTCAGGCTCTCAGATTAAACCCTTTTAAGGGTCTTTTT